GGGAGCTGATGGTGGTCCCTGGAGGGGAAGGAAGGTCAAGAGGGAAGGTTCTTTCCAATGTCAGAAATTTGATCATGTTTATAGCCTGAGGGATGGAAGCTGATGGTGAGGGAGAGATTAAATGCCTGTCAGAGCAGATGATTAATGGGCCTACCCCAGAGTAGTGTAGACTTGGTGAGAACTTCCTCAAAGGCAGTACAGAGGGGAGGGAGGGCCCAGGTCCCTGTGAGCAGGCGGCGTTCTGCACTACCGGCTAGAGGGAGAAACAGGACCAGGACTCGGAGAACAAAGCCAAAAGCTACTGGTTAACCAGGGAGTTACCTGAATCTTCATTCAAGCTGCATGAGGATGGCATGGAAGACTGGTCAGCAACAGGAAGGTGGGTCAGGTGGAGCAACTCAGCAGCAAACTCTGGAATCTTTGTGTCCTTTAACATGTGCTTTTAATGTGCAACCTGGAAACTTATTGGGCTGGGAACAGTTTTTAAAGATAGAAGAACCTGACAGAGAAGTCGGCTGTGTGCAGTTATGTCAGACTAACCTCGGAAAGGAGGTGCGGGCTTGCCTTCTGTAAGACACGGATTCAGGAGAGAGGAATGAGAGACGATTCTGGGAAACTTTGAAATAGGAAGGATGTAAGTTCAGTGACTGATCAGATATCTTCAGTAAATAGGTTATTTAAGGAGAAGAAGGGGATAGGGTGGGGTTTAGGGCTCGAGGAGAATGGAAAAGATCTGGAACAATCTCTGAAAGGAACCAGCCAGAGATGAATATAAGTTTTGCCAGGCAGTGTTGGAAGATCGGCTGTAATTAGATAGCGTAAATTTGTGTGGAAACCAGTTGGCATCATTAAGTGACTTACCAGCAATTCTCAGGCCGTGGGGAGTGGAAACATAGAAGTCTTTGAGGTTTGGCATGGAGTGGGTGCTGGTGAAGCGAGTACACTTCAGATCTAGGGGCAAGGATGAGTCAGGAAGAATTTTCTGATGCAGAAATGATACAACTGAAATGATAAGCCTTAAGGTACAGGGTGGGTAAGGAGGCAAATACTACTTAAAGGAAGTTGATAAACTAGGAAAATAGGGAGTTGTTAAGTAACTGGTAGCCACAGAAGAAGAAATTGAAGATGATTTGAGTGACTAAATGGGCCAGTTGAAAAGTCAGAGGATTGTGGCCAGAGGAGAGAATTTCAGAGTTGAAGATTTTAGAAGTGAAGGACACATGTTCCGGATCAAGACGAGGGTCAGGCTGTGGCCATACTACTGAGAAGCTGAACTGAGGTGGAAGCAAAGCCTGTCGGTGTCAAGGTCAAGAAATGTGAAACCAGGGTGAACCCTGAGTGAAAGATTGATTAACAAGGATAATCAATGGAAATGAGGGACTATCTTGGGGTCTGGGTATTTGGGGAAAACGTGACTTAACTGAATGGTGCTGCCTTAGAGGAGGAGGAGGGCAGAGGTAGGAGATCTGGAAGAAGCAGTGTTTAACTGGGAGAAAGGTGTTCTGTAAGTTGGGTTGCTGGAGCAGAACGGCCTCTACTTGAGAGGACTGGGAAGGACGTGTCATGTCATGCAAACGTCAGGGTTCAGTTTCTGCTGGAAGTAGAAAGAGCAGTTTAGAATGTAGGGTATTTAAATCCTATTAAGACAACTAGGATAGAGGTCACAGTACATAATAGTGGCTGGAGGCCTTGCCGGGCCTGGAGATGGGGAAGTGGGGCTGGGCTGGGATAAGGCTGTCAAAGGCTGATTTTGAGTTCAGGGAGTAGGACAGTACTTGTTGATGACAAGGACCAGGGGTGATGATAATGAAAGGGGGAAGCACATGCTAATAGAATCTAGGAGACAGTAAGGAGAAGTTTTGTTATCAGTGGACTGTGTGCAATTAAGCAGCCCCAGGCTTCTCATTAAAACTTTGGTGTGTCTAATTGAAATGTCCACTTGGAATGTTAGTGTGACCAATCAGAACCCTGGCATGACCAATTGGAATGGCCATTGGAATTTTAATGCAACCAATTAGAATATTATCCTCATTAACTGGAACATTGGTATGACCAATTACAACCTGGCAGTTAAAACAGCCAGAGGGATTCTGGAAATCATGAAAGCAGAGTAGATTCTTAGCTTTCAAGAGAGGTGCCTTCTGAGGCATTTTTACATCCCACCGAGGCAGTATCTTGAATGCTGGTCAGTAGACAACTGCATTAAATACCTTTTTAAGAGACTCAGGAGCTCAACAGGGGCTGTACTTTTAACTCTCCTATCCCTGGGCCTTGGCATCTGGTAGTTGAACAAATGATGGAAGTCTCATGGAAGAAGATTTTCTGAGTTCTTAGCACTCCAAAGCAATTGTTATTATCCCATGGACCTTGAGTTCTAGAATCGTCCCTTTTTCCCTTTGCACTGCTGGCTGGGAAGCTCACATACACATTGTACTCCATCTCCAGCTGTGAATAGAACTTTAGGGTATGAGTTTTATGCCGACAGTCACTCTGGCTTCAACTTCTTTCCTTACCCGCTTTAATTTTTACGGTTTATTTTATTTATTTTTCGGTACGTGGACCTCTCACTGTTGTGGCCTCTCCCGTTGCGGAGCACAGGCTCTGGACACGCAGGCTCAGCGGCCATGGCTCTCGGGCCCAGCCGCTCCGCGGCACGTGGGATCTTCCCAGACCGGGGCACGAACCCGTGTCCCCTGCATCGGCAGGCGGACTCTCAACCACTGCGCCACCAGGGAAGCCCTATTTTTTAACTTGAGTTGTCTATTTTGCAAACTACCTCAAATCATTTCTGGAACAAAACAGCTAAATGAAAGGATGGAGAGAAAGACACAGAATGAGGTGGTGGAGGCAAAGGGGAAGGTGGGGAAGAGGGAGAAGGATGTTCATAACGAGCAGGCGGCATTAGGAAGGATTATATCTTAAGATACTCAAGACCCAGAAATCCCATCTTCCTCACCCAGGGAAGAACATTTTGGGGCCTTTTATGGCCTGCGTAGCCTTAGCACCAGGCCCTAGTAGACAGTATGTGTTCAACAAATTCTTAACAGTTTGAGCAGCTCTTTCCTGGGCTCAGTGAATATTTGTTGATTGGCTTTTTTCAACACTTTTTTTTTTTTTTTTTTTTTTTTTGCGGTACGTGGGCCTCTCACTGTTGTGGCCTCTCCCATTGCGGAGCACAGGCTCCGGATACACAGGCTCAGCGGCCATGGCTCATGGGCCTAGCCGTTCCGCGGCACGTGGGATCCTCCCGGACCGGGGCATGAACCCGTGTCCCCTGCATCGGCAGGTGGACTCTCAACCACTGCGCCACCAGGGAAGCCCCAGCATGTATTTTTTTATTTCCCTTGAAATTCTTGGACTTCTTTCTCTGTTTGGGAAACAATGGGATACATTAAACAGAAATGAGTTTTGAAGCCAAACAGACTTTGGTTTTAAAACTAACTCTGCTGTTGATTGGTGTGTGCCCTTGGCCAAGACAGGCCAGTCTCTGGGCCCGTTTCTTCATCTGTAAAATAGGGATAGTAATGTTGACTGCCAAATCCCTGGGAGGGTTTATTGAGAGGATGTATGTAAAGTACCCAACAGTGTCTAGCACAGGCACTCAGCGCATCTCTGTCCACCCACCCCCAGTCCCAACACTGGACATACTTAGCTGGCTAAGTCCTCATGACCAAGCAGCCCGCAGTTCTGGCATGGCACTGCTGCTGCCTTTGCCCTGTAAGCCAGCTTCATGTCTGGCTGGCCCAGGAAGAGCTGGGCTCCTCAGCCTAGTACTAAGCTCATTTTGCTGAATTCCTTGGCTTCTGGATGCTCTCCCTCAGGTTAGCAGACGGACAGTTTGTAGCCCACCTTTCTGAGGTACTGATGGCCTTTTGCCCAGGGAGTCATGTTTTCCAAGTTAAAATCTCTGACCCATGCGGTTTGGTTTTATGAGTTGAGGACAGTTCAGAACGTGAAAGCATGGCTGTAGGGTCAGATTGTTGAAATGACTGTTCTTGTACTAGAGTTGGGTTGCCCAAGATGATAAGGAAATTTCAGACCTTGGCGGGATGTTGTGTCCTTTCCATCAGCTCATTTGGCCGGTTACCCTCCTAGCATCATATCATGGTCTCCTTGCCAGGACCTGTGTATCCAATGTCTCCAGGTGCCAAGATTTGGGATCTCACACAACATCGCCTTTTGCCAATGGAGAAATGTTACCCCAGGACTTTGGGAAGTGCTCCTGGCTTTTGAGGTCCTTCATAATTCCTAGTAGTGCTGAGCAGGTGTTTCACCTATCACCTTTGTTTTGTCTTATTTATGCTTATTAAGTGTATATATTAATGACAGGTTGTTGTCTGCTACTGTTTTAGGCTTGGCAGGACTACTAATAACCTCCCCAGTCCTCAAAATAAGCAAAGAACAATTTTCTTATTTACATTCTAGGAAAGATACATATCACATAAATAAGATTCTACTATAACCATTCAATAAATACTCATTGAATATCTACTTTATGTCCTAGCTCCCTTCTAGGTTCCTTGCAGTAAGGTCTTCCAATGACATGTGTGGAAGACTGGGCTGAATATTGACTGAGCCCAGGAGGTGATATGGAAACTTTGGTTTTGAAAAATGTAATGTTAACCTAAGCTGGTCTTTTGTTTGTTTTGGTGGAGAGGATCTGCTGCTTTGCCTTAAAAATAGACATGGAGAAATTTCATTCGTTGAGCAGACCCATCCGTTTTTCTCTACCTGGAAAGAATGAATAATGGTTTCTATGGACAAATGTGCTTTTTGAGAAATGTAGCTCACATTGACTCGCAGAGCACAGTGGGTAGCATCGGGCCATGCTACCCTTGAGTGACCCAGCATCAGCCCAGGTCTGTCCCCTATAGGACTGTGGCTCAGATGTAGCGGTTTCATCGTACAATGTAGAGATTGCCTTATGTCCTATGGATGGAGGTAGAGTCGTTCTTATTGCCATGGAGGTTTACGATTTTGAGATCTGTTTTTGCCTGCAGGAGCTGCTAAGTCGTACATCTCTTGAGACTCAGAAGCTCGATCTGATGACTGAAGTGTCTGAGCTGAAGCTCAAGCTGGTGGGCATGGAGAAGGAGCAGAGAGAGCAGGAAGAGAAGCAGAAAAAAGCAGAGGTGAGTGTGATACGTCACCTTCTAGGGGTACCCATACTGTCCAAAGCTCAGATCAGGGGAAGCTAGCCTAATGTGGCTTCGGCCCATCTGGTCAACCCCAAGCCTGGCAGCCACTGGGTGCCAGAAACATCTATGCACCAGAGACACAATGATCTGTTAATACCAAGTTATCAGGTTTTGCTGTGGCTGCAGATTTCAGCAGTGCCCAAACCACCCAGTTTTGGCTCTAAGGCTGTATCCTCCCTCAAGCTGCTGACAAGGATGGAAAGGGAAGCAGTAGTGGGGGAAGGATCAGACAAGACTTGGAGAGACCAAGATGTCTTCTCTGAGAGCCAAGGTAATGACCGCGTATTGGATGAAGTCAGCTGCTCAGTAAGCCAGCATCGTTGTCCATGGAGTCTAGAGACATTCTTGATGTGCATTTCACAGACCCAGAGGCAACCCTTAGATTATGTGTTTCTTTCCTCCTGATGGCTCCTATGGGTGAGCCCATGCACAGGCTTCTCTTAGAATGTGTTCCTGTATCTCGTTTTTGTTTTTGTTTTCTCAGGCTCCATATGCCATTGACTAGAGCATGCCAGACTCTTTTTTTGGGTAAATGTTTTGGATAAATTCTAGGCTCAGAGCTCAGAACAGTCCATTTTAACCTTAGATAACCACCTTCCGTGTGCCTCTACCTACAAGTTCCCTATATTTGTACACTGTGCATTGTGAGCTGTGGAAAGAATAGCCTTTAGGTTTAGAAACACCTTGGCTCAATTACGGACCTAAATGCTTAATAGCTCTTTGAACTTCAGCAAGTTAACTACTTAATCTCTCTGAACTTCAATTTCTTTATCTGTAAAATGGGTAACTGTGTGATGAAGTCGAAAAAAAAAATCACCAAAGCTAAGTCTCTATCATAGGATCTGGCATCCTCTCTTCCATTCAGGCACCTCTAACATCTAAAGGTGGACATTGTTCCATTCAGTTAAGCACCAACACCATCATGCCCGGAAACCTGGCACATTTCTGTGTTTACTGGGTAAACACTGGTGATTGAGACACTTCTAATATGTGGGGCATATTCCTTGCATTGCTTTTGAGAACATGCTCATTAGTAAGAAGTATAGTTGCCAAAAGAAAATTTATCTCCATTACGCTGAGGACACTATCTTCTAGTGATTAAGAATGCAGGCTTTTGAATCAGACCTCTTGGCTGGAATCCAACCTCAGCTACTCAGTAGGTTTGCGATCTTAGGCAAGTAATTTAACCTCCCAAACCTCTATTTCTTCTTCTGTAAAATGGAGATAGCAGTACTTCCTGTTTGCTCAGTTGTTCCCAGGAAGGAATGAGATAACGTATATGTGTAGTCCTTAGCGTAGTGCTGGATAACTAGCTTTTATCAGTTACTTACTGATTGTGTTTTTAAGCATGCGAGAAATGTAAATGTCGACCTAGCTACATTATTGACTTCTACGTTCACGCAGAGTCAAAGCTTATCTGTGTGAAGTGTTAGTTCAATAGGCTGTGCTTCTTAAATGTTCAGGGAGAAGCAATTAGATTTTCTACAGGTTTAGAATTATTTTACCAGTGTTTCAAAATGTGTGATCACGTGGGGATATACATTCAGGCTTGGGGGCCTCAAAACCGAGGGAGGGAGGGAGGGGAGGGAGCGAGGGAAACAAGGAAAAGAAAGAAAGGAAAGAGGGAGAGGGTTATTAGGTCACACAACTGGAATAGTCTAGGGTTTAAAAAGCTGATATCACTAGATCCAGCTGGCTTTACCGTGTCTTAGAAATCAGGCTTAGGGTCTCATTCGGTTCTGTTTTAGCCTTATTCTCAGGAAGGCTCTCTGTATGTGGTGACAAAGATGGCCGTCAGCAGCTTTAGATCCTACTAGCCTGGCAACCTCTGCAGAGAGAGAGATTCTCTCTCTCTCAAAGATTCCAGCAAAACCCCAGGATTGCATATCAGTGGGCCAATTTGGGTCACGTGCCTGGTTCTGAACCAGTCACTGTAGGGGACATGGGCCCACGCATGGGTGTGTGTGGGCACGAGAGTCAGTCCATGGTGGCAGAATGCTGAGTTAGTACCGAGCTGGAGCAGCTCAGTTCCTTTCTAGGGAAGGAAGGGGAGCTCCCACTTCTGGGCCAAGCACAGCTAAGGCAGTCGTTCTACTGTTTGCTTTATTTTTTCTTTTCTGAAGGATTATTTTTCAATCCGAATTTTTGCTTTTGTTTTCCATTAGACTATTCGTGCATGAGGCACCATAGACCCTGAGCTGCTGGCCTCAGTCCTACCCGATAACAGCCCTTCCCAGTTGCTAGTACAAACATTAGGTTTCCATGTGGAGGAGTTTTTCAGGCTGTTCAAACTTGTGATAATCAGGGAGCAACGGCCATATGACCTGAAGCAACATTCTCATTCTTGTCATTAAACATAATCTTTACTGGTATGCTCAGACTCTCTACCACTGTTTGTAACTATCTGGAACACCCTAGGCTTACAACCATGGACAGGGCTGCTGAAGCTAGCTGCACTACTGTCGTGTGTGTGGTGGAGCTGTTTATTTTGAGGGAGACGTTTGGCTAGCTGGGGTCATCAAGGTTGTAGTTGTATGAATAAAGGGAATGTTGCTTCCCATCCTACACTGCTGCTGTTTTTCCAGTGAATGTGCTTAGCCTAAAGCCTGATTGCTTGTGGTTTAAAAGAGGCAGGACTTTTCTGAGGTAGCCAGATCTGAAATAAACTTTCTCTGTGTAGCTCAGGCTTTATCCTAAGCAGGTATCCTGCCGCCCTGTAGTCAGCTGTGGAAGTGATTACAAATGTTTGTCTATAAACCCAAGGACTTTGAGGTGTAGGTTTCTTGTTAAATGGAGACAATCCTGATAGCCAGCCTTGCTCAGGAGTCCGTGGTGACCCTTAGGAGACGTGGGTGAATACTGGATTTCCTGTTTACTGTACCTTTTCTCCTGAGCCTTTCGCAGTGGTCCTGGGTCATTTCAGGAGACCCAAGATTGGACCAATTGGGTTCACTCCTGAAAAGCAGGACTGCAGGAAAAGTGACCAACATGGAAAGTAAATACCACAGTTAGGAGGGTGGCACATGAAGGAAAGAGATCCAGAGGCAAAGGAAAACCTCGGGGCGGCCCACCTATCAAAGGCATGTCCCTTGGAGAGATCTTCCTTGGAGAAGGGCATGTGGCTTCCCTAAGCACTGGGGGTGCAGGGAGGCCTGCAGCTGGATCCCTTTGTGAGATCCAAAGGGTTCTGCGTGTAGTAGCAGAGCAGCCTTTCTAGAGGGGAACAGGGATCCAGCATGTGCTTGGAAATGAAGTCAGCCCAATTGATCAGGGACATACATAAGCCTGAAGAGAACTGGAAACGAGCTCTAGGATTTCCTGGTAGAAAATGGAATATCTTACAGCACAGGTGTCCTGCTTCCTTTCTTCCTATGGGTGGGACCTTGGAAGGGGAGGGATTCTGATTTCTGAACTATTGCAATGGGAATGATGAACCTGGAGTACAGAGCAAAGGCTGGGAAGATTGTGTTTGCTCAGAGAAGAGCTGGCCTGACTTAGGAGAGTTTTATTATTCTTGTTTTTATTTTGTTTACTCATCTTTGTTTGTACAGGAAATGTACTCCAACAATTCAGAAATTAAGAGTTCAGAAAGGTATATGCAGCAAAACCTCTCCTTCCCCAGCCAGCAGTCAGACACCAATGTTGTCAGTTTGTTTTGTATCCTTCAGAGTTATCTTATGCATCGACAAGCAAATTTATATGGATAAATTCTTTCCCTCATGTTTGCACAGATACACATTATTCTAGACCTTTCTTCTTTTTTAATTGAGCAGTCATAGAGCTTGTTTCATATCAAGTACATTAAAAAAAAACCTTTCTCATTCATGTTTATGTTTACATATTATTTTATGCTCTGACTATGCCCTCATTTATTTAACCAGTTCTCTCTTGGGTGGACATTTAAGTTGTTTCCAAGTGTTTGCCCTTACAAATAATGCTATTGTGAATAAATGTGTAAATGTGTGAGGATATTGAAGTGGAATGGAAGGGTCAAAGGGTACAACACACTTGACATTTTGACAGATGTGGAGGTGGTATTCCCACCTGCTATGTGTCAGAGTGCCAGGACAGTATTAAACTGAGCATGAAGGAAGCGGGAGAGAAACAACTAAGTAAAGTTGTGAACAAGTTTAACAGGTAGGATGGGGTGGGAAAGACTATGATTATGGGAAGTGCCCAGTAGTTAGTTTCACATCGAAAAGAACCATCAAACAAACAAAAACTTTTTTTTTTTTTTGCGGTACGCGGGCCTCTCACTGTCGTGGCCTCTCCCGTTGCAGAGCACAGGCTCCGGACGCGCAGGCTCAGCGGCCATGGCTCACGGGCCCAGCCGCTCCGCGGCATGTGGGATCTTCCTGGACCGGGGCACGAACCCGCATCCCCTGCATCGGCAGGCGGACTCTCAACAACTGCGCCACCAGGGAAGCCCCGAAACAAAAACTTTGACGGTTGGCAAAGCAAGAGTAATAAAGTGAGTTGAGATTACAGAACAGGGATTAGAACCTCATAAATGTCACTTGGACTTTATGATGTGGGACCCAAGATTGAAAACACCACTACAAAAGGCTCTGCCCTATGGGAGAGAAAAGACCTATTAAGAGAGGAGAGGGGGGCTTCCCTGGTGGCGCAGTGGTTGAGAGTCCGCCTGCCGATGCAGGGGACACGGGTTCGTGCCCCGGTCCGGGGGGATCCCACATGCTGCGGAGCAACTAGGCCCGTGAGCCATGGCCACTGAGCCTGCGTGTCCCGAGCCTGTGCTTCGCAACAAGAGAGGCCGCGATAGCGAGAGGCCCGCACACCGCGATGAAGAGTGGCCCCCGCTTGCCGCAACTAGAGAAAGCCCTCGCACAGAAACGAAGACCCAACGCAGCCAAAATAAATACATAAATAAATAAATAAACTCCTACCCAACACCTAGGTATTGAAGGGTTGGT